CACACACACACACACACACACACACACACACACACACACACACACACACACACACACACACACACTGACGCACGCACACACACACACAGACGCACACATGGGGACAGTAGGAAACGCAAGCAGACACCCGCACACGCGCGCACATGTGTGCACACGTGTGCCGGTGTGTGCTTGCGTGTCCCCGTGTGTGCGTCTGTGTGTGTGCGTGCGTGCGTGCGCCAGTGTATATGTGTATGTGTGTGTGTGTGTGTGTAAGTGTGTGTGTATGTGTGTAAGTGTGTGTGTGTGTGTGTGTGTGTGTGTGCGTGCGTGCGTGCGTTAGTGTGTATGTGTGGGTGTGTGTGTGTGTGTGTTTTAAGTTCGCCAAATGCAAGACAACAAGTGGAGAAACGATACGGAAACCGCATCGCGGATAAGCTCCGAAATACTGCATCGGCACAACTCCATTAGCTTGTCAGGCGGACACGGGACTTTTTACCAAGCCACAACTCCTCCTCCAGAGGCATTACCGAGATACTCATGTGGGGTTTTATCTTTTCGGACTGTGGTGTGGAAGTGGGCGTAGAAGCTTCTTCGTTTATGAATCTCGTAATTACATAATCAATCACGATAGAATATCAAGATCAAATCCGGGTTGTATCCTTGCCTACATAATCTCAGATAGGTTTACAACAGCCAGCTTAACGACGAATACGAGCACTAATCACAAGCAGCAAGTCCCCGGAAAAAAGTCCGATGGCCGTGCTTCTACAGTCGGGATCCATATACGCCTTAGGCTCGCAAGTCGTCTGAATGTATCCTATTAATTGCGTGCATCATACCCAAACGATTGCAGCAAGCAACCCGATCATCATGCAACCATAATGACATGAGATAAGAACCCACACCATCCAAGAGTGAGGCAAGGTGCGCAATACGTGAAAGGAACAATTTCTTACGCAAAAAAGGTTGTGCTGGAATGCTAACAAAGGATGCAGTCTTACCGAGAAAAAACCGGATGCAGAGACAACAAGCGCATTTTTTCAGTAATCGCACATTTACTTTATCATGATTACATCCCTAAGCAGTCACCATAAAAGACTTTTAACGAAAAAGGAGGAAAAAGGAGAGAGGATGTCTCAATCGACGAATAGTGAGGAAGATCCGAAAAGGAAAAGGAAAAAGAAAGAAGAACAAAAAAAGCAGAAAATGACAAAAGTTCGAGAGATTCTTTCAAAAGAAGCAGAACTTATCACGCATGCGGGAACAAAAGGGATCGGACGGAGTGCACAAACCACACATGGAAAAAAGAGAAAAGAAAAAGGAAAAAGAAAAACGAAAACAAGAAAAAAGAAAAAGAAAAAAGAACCCGAACTCAATACACACGATAGAAATTCGAAATTATGGACAAAAAAGTTTCCTTATTACGCCAGTCGAACTGAAGTGCCACCGAGTCACATCCACGATCCATGCAGCGCGTAGCAGAGCACAAGATGCAAAGAAAATAGGATGAAGAACTGGGCTGCATTCCCAGAGGCAGTTCCTCATAATCTGAGACTCTAGCCCCGACAACCAAGCAGGGAGGGTAGTGGCGATCCCTGAAGTGCTTTTCTGCCGCTAGCCACCATCGCACGGCTTCATCAGAGGGAGAACACCTGCTTTTCTTACAGATGCTTGGGAAGAGGCAGCGGGGGAGCTGGAGGGCTAAACTAGAGATGGTGCAGGAAGGCGAGAAAGGTGAGAAATGCGAGCAGCGCCACAAAAGCAAGAAGCATGTAAGCAGAGACTTCAATGGCAATCCCTGCCCTATCTATAACTTCCTCCTTTTCTAGCGCCATGCTGCCAAACGCAAGTGCCTTGCAGAGAACCCAGCGTAGCGCGTTCAACGGGATGAAGAGAAAGGCAATCATGCTTTTGGTGCGCAGATAGGCGGAGTATGCGCAGCGATGCTTGGCAATAAATAGGGGGGGGAAGAGACTGCGAGCACGAGCGCGGTATAGGAAAGCAAGGCCAAGGTCTTATACCGCGTCTTCAGCGTTGCCGATGAGCTGGTCCACCATAGCTGGATCGACCTCATAATCCATGGCCTCCGATGCGTTACCTCCGCTGGCACGTCGATGCAGGCACTCCACCCGAGCACTTACTCAAACTGGACGCCCACGAGCCAACCAGCCTAGGCTTCCTTCCCCTCTAGGCTAATCCGAGCTCGTAGGCTGAACTCATGATGGGAAAAAGACGTAGCGCTTGTCCTAAAATACCGCCTGAAAGTTCGTCATGATCGGAGTTCGATGGTATCGTATTTTGTAAATTGGCGCCAACCGTCCAACTTACGAGAATGCGGAAAGGACCCCGCCATTCGAAACGACTGACTAGGCGGGGAGTGATGCAGTATCGTGTCCACGTGCAAGAGACGTCACGAAACGACGAGAGCCTGAAAATCGAAAAAAGAAAAAAGAAAAAAGAATTAAAAAAAAAAAAA